CCTTTTTATGTCTAATTATCAATTAAGTATTGTCCATTTAGTTGCTTGTGTTGTCCGAGATTGTGCTAGAATTATGGGATGATTTTGGGTAGCATAAAACACGTTTTAAGCTTGGTTGTGGTAGAAATTTCTTGATTTAGTTGCTGTGTGGTTTATAGGGAGAAAATCCCGTGAATTAGCTAGTGTTTTGGCTAATGTTTGGAAGTGGCAGTACTGTTCACGGCACTGTTCATATAACACTGTTCACGGCACTGTTCATATAACACTGTTCACACACCGAGGGTTAACGATTAACAGGGATTTAAAGGTTTAGTTTGTGATATAAGAATGAATGTGGAGATGTCCAGTTATGTGGAGATTGATAGAAATAGCATCGAGATTAGGGGTAGTCCCGATGATGATTTTACTTTAAATTTGTGGTGGTATGGTTATTAATTGTGGAATATTGTGATTAGGTTTTGATCGTTCTGTCACCGTAGCACTTGGGTTAGCCTTCTGTTCTATGCGAGTGAGGTAAGTAAATTATGGTAAAGCCCTTTGATTTTAAAGCATGTTTTAAACTGTTTTTGAGATGGTGGCAAGCTTTAAATTGATTTTATCGGCATTTGAGTGTGATTAAACTGGAATGCAAATTGTGATGGGTTTTATGGGAAATTTCCTTGTTTTTCTGAAATTGAGCATGATTGGAACGAAAATGAGGATTTTATTGATTTTCTGGAATCGAACATGATTGAAATGAAAATGAGAGTTTCATTGTTTTTCGGGAGTTGAGCATGCCTATTTACAAATTGACTGAACTGTTTTGATGAACTGAGAGTTTGCAAATTCTGAGTTTTCTGTTAAATCCATGGTCACATGGAAATTTCTGGTTTGTTTTGAAATTCGGGATTGATTGTGAAATTGGGGTTTTTCTGTAAATCCTGCATGGTTTTGTCTCGGATATAGTCATGATTATTGACGCCCGCTAGTGGGAGCTGTAAACGCTAGCACATGTCGACATGTATTTCTGTGGAACCGGTTCACCCTACCGATGGGGTTAAACATTGGCACTATTACTGACGCCTGCCAGTGGGAGTTTGTAAACACTGGCACCATTACTGACGCTTGCCAGTGGGAGTTGTAAACACTGGCACTATTACTGACGCCTACCAGTGGGAGTTTGTAAACACTGGTACCATTACTGACGCCTACCAGTGGGAGTTTGTAAACACTGGTACCATTACTGACGCCTGCCAGTGGGAGTTTGTAAACACTGGCCATGACTTATAGATGAGACTACTGAACTGAGTTTTCTTATGCATGTAACGGTTTGTCATGAAACGTTTTGTTATTGAACTGAATCTGATTTTGTCACTGAGCGTTTTGGTTATATTAAACTGTTTATCTGGCATGCTTAAAAGTTTTACCCAAGGGCTATCCATATTTACTTACTGAGTTATCTCATAGTTTTCCTTGTCCACCATTTCAGGAAGCGAAACCGAGGATGGGAAAATCAAGGGGAGTGACGAGTTAGAAGGCTAGCCATTTCGAGATTGACATAGATTTAGAAATAAGTCATGATCCTGTAAGCTAGAGTGTATTTGGAGATTTTATGATATCAGAGCAGATTGTAAAAATTTTATCTTGAGATTTTGTGATCGAATTGTGATTTGAATAAGTTCCGAGCCTTGTGCACTTGTGGAACCTGTCTCACGGGTGCACGGCGTCTGTCGCGCCTCGGATTCGGGTTCTGGGGCGTGACAATAGGACTTCAAGGAATTGCATTATTATCTTATTATTTTTCTTACTATATTATAAAAATTGTTAAATTCTTCAATAAATCATGGATAAGTATTCA